CCTACAAAAATCACCCCTTGGCTTCATTTTCTTCGGTCAGTTATTACCTTTCGTCTTTCCTTACTTAGAGCCTGATGTGTTGTTACTATGGACATAAGACACACTATTTGGGGGCCTCTGTTTCCTCTCCCATAAAATAAGGTTAATAGTATCTACCACCAAAGGGTTGACGACTAGTGTAAAGATTTAATAAGGTTAGAATATATAAAGTGCTTTGAACCATGCCTGGCTTAGTGTAAGTGTACGACAAAGCCTCACTGTTATTACTACACATCCTTGCAATGGCACCAATCACATGATATTGAAAATGTTTGTGAGCACTGTCCACCACCACCACCCCAGACTGTAGGAGATTGTGCTTCAGGCATCACTGCACAGTGATGGAGCTGGAGCACAGTGCCTGGCCTATAGTGGGCATGTGATAAACAGTCACCAAGTGGATGAATCAGATTTTGTATTCTTCACAATATCCAGCAAATGACAGGTGCTCATGAAATAGTCGCTGATTTGAATTTGATAGAATGGAATTGATCTGGAAAGAATACAGAGTAAACAGTGCCATAACATTAGGTAAAGTATAATGAGTTAATTTAAGGGGAGGGGCATCTGGGTGGCTCAGTCGGTTAAGCATTGGACTTTGGATCAGGTCATGATCTCACAGTCCGTGAGTTCGAGCCCCACGTCGGGCTCTGTGCTGACAGCTGGGAGCCTGGAGCCTGCTTCAGATTCTGTATGTCTGTCTCTCTGCCCTTCCCCTGTGCTCCCTCTCTCTCAAAAATTAAAAAAAAAACCTTTTTTTAAAAATTAAGATGAGAGAAATGAGAAATTTCCTTTGAGACTCCTCCTTAAGGTGCAATCTAAACTGATGCATAATTCCACATTCCTAACAAATTCAGATTTTTTCCCCTATTTATTTGCTCCTCCATTTCAATTTCCATGTCCTGTCAATTCTCTTTGCTTTCATTCTCATAGCATAGCTTAATTTACCAACAACCTGGACTCCTGGTATCATCTTTATCAGTAAGCTATTGCTGCATAACAAAGAAACACAAAATCTCAGTGACAAACAACCAGAAGCATTTATTTTTGATATGTCTGTGGGTCAAGTAGCCTGGGACAAGCTTGACTGGACAGCTCTACCCTAAGCTGCAGGTTTGACTAGACTTATCTCCCAACTGAGCATTGGCCACAGATCTGTGCCTTATGTATTAATTCTGAAGCCAGACTGAAAGGGCAACAGCTACCCAGGGAAGCTTTTGTCTTGGCAATAGCAGAAAAACAGGCAGGTGAGTACAAATGTGTAATGCCTCTTAAGGCCTCCATCTGGAACTGACACATAGTCATTTTTACTCACCCTGCATTGTCCAAAGCAAGTCTATAGCCAAGCCCAACATCAGTGAAACGGCACAAGTCAGTATTGTCCACTCTAGTGAGTTTTACCACACAGTCACATGGCAAAAGAGGTGAACGTACAAATCTAATTCAGAGAAGAGAAGAATTGTGAACAATGATTAAATTCACCACACTTCTATCCTCATTCTGGTCTTCATAACACCTTCCTAGGCAATCACATTACCCTCTTAGCTGATCTCCTTGTGTTCAGTCTTCTTCACAACAAGTGCCTCCATTTGGTCATGAATGTTTTGGCTGTAGGGGATAGAATCCCCAGTTTAAAATGACTTATATTACATCACATAATAAGAAGTCTAGAAAAAATGTTCTAGGTTTAGAACATCAACAATGTCATTGAAGTCTCAGGGTTTTTGTAACCTTTTTAAAAATCCTGTTAGCCATTGTCTACAGCTTGTTGCCTCGTGGTGATAAGATTGCTTCAGTGGCTCCAAGCATCGCATGATTGCACAGTGATGTTCAAAGCAGGAACGAAAAAGAAAAAGTGCCTTAATACACCCCTCTCCTTTTATCTGACAAAAAAAAAATCTCTTGTAGTTTCCCAAGTCATTTCCCCTTACATTTTGCTGATCAGAGCTCTCTAACCACCAAGAGTTGCAAGGAAGGCAGAAGCCAATAAGGAACATTTTCAGGCTCTGTCTTATGAATGGATCTAAAAACAAGAAAGAAGTTGGTGAAAGAATAGTGTATGTATAAGAAATCATTGGTATCTGCACAAGTCAAATAATTTAACCTACCTGACTTAATATTTAAGACTTCATAACACCATATTCATCCTCTTTTAAAGCTTAATACATCAAAATTTCTCTAAGAGTGAATATTTCCCTCAGCACATCTCATTCTTCCTGTCATTGTTCCCATCACTGATGTGTTTGTATACCTTTCTTCCATCTTCCCTCAATGGCCTTTTATCCCCACTCTTACCTCTTCAAGTAAGTCTTCCTTTTACTTAAGGATTAAGTTCTTCTCTGGTAAGTCTTTCATGGGCACTGAGGTTGCCCTGATGTCCCGCCACATGCTCAATAACTATTTGTGAAATAGATTTGAGTCATAATTTCCATTAGAGGGTTTTGGATTTTGTAGCAATTCTTCTTGACTGTGATCTCTAACCAACTTAAATTATTCCATTGGAAGTTTTGGGTTATTTTTCTTAAATAGTATTTTATGTCGTTTTGTCTTATGGTAGTAGCTCACTGTTTTTGAACAAACCTTTGTTATTGACCGAGTATTCAAAGCAAATACCCATGATTATTTCCAACTTGTCTACACTATGGTGATATTTTTGGGCGTATCATGTTTCTGTCTCTTGGATGAAAATTGTGCATTTTCATATTGAAATATATTATATTGTCACTTTAGACGTAGTTACTTCCCTCCTTGCTGGGTTGTTCTTAATTTAAGCCATCACCTTTTCTAAGTAATGGGTGAAAATCATGCCTTCCATGAAGTCTCACCACATTTCATTTTGACTACCCCTTTGTAATATTTCACTTACCATTCTGTTATGCTGTGTTTTATTTTTCTCCCCACTTCTACTACAAAGATTTTTTTAAATGTATCAACGACCTCCACTGCTGATTAAGACAATGTCTTGCAGTCCATCATTTAATAAAGGTTTGTTGAACTTCTAGTATATGCCAAACGTTGTCTAGTCACTAGGGACCCAGTAAGAAAGGAAATAGATGTAATCTAGGCATGCCTGGGTGGCTCAGTTGGTAAAATGTCCAACTCTTGATTTCATGATTTCACAGTTGTGAGTTAGAGCCCTCTTGGGGCTCCATGCTGGGTGAGATTCTCTCTCTCCCTATCCCTTTGCCCCTCCCCCACTTATGCATGTGCCAAAAGAAAGAAAGAAAGAAAGAAAGAAAGAAAGAAAGAAAGAAAGAAAGAAAGAAAAGAAATAAATAAATAGGTATAGTCTTTACTTTTCTGGGTTTTGCATTCTAAGTAGGAGAAACAACTAACCCATAAACACATCAATCTAATATGCCAGGTGGAGGTAAGTGCTCTAAGGAAAGTAAAACAGGGAAGTATCATGGCAAGATCCTATTGCAGTGAGGCAGTGAAAAAAAAAGTGGGTAGGAAAGGCTACAAAAAACCCCTAATGCAATGGAGTTTCATGCAGAGGTCATAGTAAGTACAAAGTCCCTGAGGCAGAACTTTGCTTGGCATGGACAAACATCAGCAATGTGGACAGAGTGGCTGCAGGCAAGTGATGAGGGAGAGAGAGGAGAAAGGACACAAATGAAATCAATTAATGGGTGGGAGGGCAGGTCACGTATTGGCTTGGAAGCTGCAGTAGGGAGTTGGAGTTCATTTTGAGCAAGGTGGGAAGCCCTTGAACCTACTAAATATTTGTTTCGTTACGAGTAATAATCATCTATACTGTTTTTAAAAAAAACCTGGAAATGGATGGTGGTGATGATTACACGAGAATGTACGTGTGCTTAATGCCACTGAACTGTACATGTAAAAATGGTTATGGGGGGAATTTTACATTATGTATATTTTACTACAATAAAAAATATCTATGAGCGAATTCTGTGGCCAGAATCTGAGCTGAGCACTGGTGACTATATAAACTCATAGGTGATGTAAACACTCAGAATCTGCTTTGAGAAAATACATCCCGTATATTATAAATGTAAATACACGATGCAAGGTAGTATAAATCGTGCTCCAAATGAGAAGACTAGGCTAGGGTTTCAGAGTGTGTTCTCAGAAGCATCAGTCTGGAGAGATGCCCTTTGAAACAAAAGGAGCTTACTCAAATAAGTTGGGGAAATAGCGCATCCTCCAGCCCCCTGTGGAGATTCCCAGGGCACGTTGGCATATCACAGGCTGCAAATACACATGAAAGAAACTTGTTTAACTTTGTTTAATCCAACATTGCTAAACCATTTTGATCACAGGCTTCCCCCCCACCCCCGCCCCTAAATTGCCTATTAACATCCGGAAGAAATGGTATGCCAAAGAACCTATGTCAAAGGAAACACAAAGCTGAGATAGGAAGAAAAGAATTTGTGGAGAAAGTGTGGTCGGAGTTGAGCTAGAAAGGAAAGGGGATACTTAGATTAGAGAAGAGGAAGGGCATTCAAGGCAGGAGAGATGTTAAGAAATTCACTTCAAAGTAAATCTCCTGGAACTTGCGTCTTCAAATATCATTGACCCACAGAACGAATCTTTCAAAATGCTGATAAAATTATAATTTTGGTGATCATTGATAAATTTCTTCTAAAACAGTCAAGACACCAAATCATTAAGATTAATTATTTTGTAGAAGTTTTCTTAATTCCTTGTCATTATTTTATAAACAACAAAGTTATGCCCAGAGAGACTATAACTTACTCTGTCATCCCTGCCTAATCGATGGCAGAGTGTTAGTTTTCTTTCTCTGGGGCCAGTCTTGTTCCATGAAGGAGGGAGTTACGGATTTTTTATCTCTGCAATAGACCCTTTGGAATTAAAGCAAAAAATCGATTCCTATGCAAGACACAGATTTCAGCATGCAGTGGGTATGGAAACAGAATCAAATTAAAGAACAACGCAATCTTGGATTTTAATGAAGCTCATCTTTGTTTCTTTTGCAGATCAAATTTTTGGCTCTCATCTGCACACAGTGTGTGAACGTGAAAATTCCACAGTTCCACGGTTTGTAAAGCAATGCATTGAAGCTGTCGAAAAAAGAGGTGGGTAACTGAATATGTAGTAATTTCCCCCATTAGCGTACCCTCTAAACAACCAATGCTCAAGTTAACAGCGCCACTTGATTTGTCTGGGAAGCCATGCAATTAAAACTTGACTTTTGTTAATCGGTTAAGAGGATCAAGTTTCTTATTAACTTCAGTTTGTTTTTACAATAGGGACATCAGTAATTCCCTATGTTCTAATGTTCTCTTTTTTTAATATTTTGTCTGTCTGACATGTTGTTGATTCAATTGCTAACTTCTTGTTTTCCAGCCAGTGATAAAACATTCATAAAATATCAGCACTCACAGTGTTAGAACCCTCCTAACATTCATGCTGGTAGATGTTGTGCCAGAACAATTTTTGGTAAGCCCCCAACATTACCCAAGTGAAGCAAATAGCATTCCTACTTGCAAACAGTGATATCCCATCTTCTGTGTGTTTCTGTTCAATATAGAATATGGCTAACTGGTTTTTCTGAACAATTAACAGATGCACCTCCAGTGTTAAGATGACCTTTGTTTCCTATATTTCAACATTCTGTTTTTCATCTGAAATTATTTCATCTTACCAAAGGGAACAAAACAAAACCCAATTGACTCATCATTTCTATGCTGGTCTATCTGTGGGGTGTTTTTCCTTCCGACTATGACTTCATTCATTCAAGGTCATTTTCCCTGGAAGATACATACAGTAGATGCAGAATCTCAAAAAAATATATTGTATAAAAATGTGGAGCTTCATCACCATCTGTTACAAGTTTACAACATATTCCCAGGATCTAGGGGGATATATATCATGTAAAAGATAGAGGTGTTTTCAGAAAAAGAAATGGTGAACCTATTCCCATTTTCAGCTCCCAGTCTCTTAAAACAATAGAACCAAGGGGAAAAAATCTTTACCAAGTTATCTACTAGGAAAAAGCCATTTTAATTCTCTCAGTGTTACCTGGCTTTATTATAGAGGCATAATAAAAATGGTCTGCAATTTCCAACTCCTGGAAATTCATACTTTAATTATACTGTAAGGACAGCCTTGGGATCCTATTATTCCCATATCAGTAGGGAATGAGAGAATAACAAGAAGGGGACGAGTGGGTAGGGAAGGTAGATAAAGAGAGTGGCTTTGGGGGAAAGCATATCAACACATCAGAGAGAAGAGCTGAGAGCTCACAGAGAGTAGAAAACAGTAAAAGCAGAATGAACACAAGGAGAGGTATCTGTGAGGAATGGAGTCAATTGGAGTTTAGAGAGAAATGTGTTTTTATTGCATGTTGCAATCTCATTTAATTTTATAAGTTCATAATTTAGGAATAAATATTATTTAATAAGTACTTAAAGCCAAAATGGATCACTGAGAATGTTATAATGTTATTATTGCCAATAGCTAAATTATCATTATTTTCAGGAGATCTTCATCCACTTATAAATACTCAAGCCTGACAGTGTGAGCACTATTATATTAGAGCAAATATCCAAATAGGACTTTGGGGGGAGCTATACTTAAAAAGACATGTGCACATATAAAAAAAAGGGGGGGGGGCTCTGTACCTCTTTGTATATGTACATACCCTAGGCAAAATGAAAACTGCTAGATATAGTCCTGTGGTATGCAGATACCATAATATTGTAGTGTTGAAAATATCTATAAATAGAAACTGTATCTTCTGTTCATAGCATTTGTTGGTGATTTTTTTTTTTAATTTTTTTTTTCAACGTTTATTTATTTTTGGGACAGAGAGAGACAGAGCATGAACGGGGGAGGGGCAGAGAGAGAGGGAGACACAGAATCAGAAACAGGCTCCAGGCTCTGAGCCATCAGCCCAGAGCCTGACGCGGGGCTCGAACTCCCAGACCGCGAGATCGTGATCTGGCTGAAGTCGGACGCTTAACCGACTGCGCCACCCAGGCGCCCCATGTTGGTGATTTTTAATAAAATAAGAATGTTTTTGCTGACAGCAGCAATCATATCTAGCATTATATTTCATTGTCCCAATGTTTACTCTTAAAATGAATTTGTCGACCCAGCACTAAACAGGCACTAATCACACATATGATTATTAAAATAAATCCTAAGCATTTTAATGAAACTCAACGACTTTACAATTCCACAAAGCAACTGATAATTCAAAGCACTTTGGCAGCATCAGCTTAAAGGAACTCTATGGAAATGTTCAATAAAAACTCAGAGGCACAAGATAAACCTCTCACATCATTGCAAGATTTACAAATGTGTACTTTTGATTATATTTTTCTATGATCATTTTGTTGGATTAATATTCTTACATTTATATGCCAATTCTATTTACTCAAAGTGTTGTTTTTACTAAATTCTGGCAGAGAGCACCTTAGGACAGAAATAATTTATGTGAATCTAAGTCCAATGTTTATGCAGGCTTCTGATGACATTTTATGCTGGGGTTGGTATTAGGAAGTAGCATATAAAGGTGCCAAGTCTCTCGGCACGGCTGGGACTCAGCATATCTAGAGCCCTCCTTCTAATGGCCAGATCCTCTTCCAGCCAAGATACTCAACTGCAGAGTCATGGGAAATGCTCATGGACCAGTTATGGGAAAGGCACATTTAATGAGAATTGTGTGTCTACTTTCACACTCTGGGGGAAATGTCCTCAAAAAAACCCATCATAGCATACATGGGCTATAATAAAATGATGTGTTTCCTTTCTCTCTTTTTCTCTTAAGATTTTTGCCCCTGCTTTTACAAAAAAAACCTCATCCTTAAATTGTAGCTATATTTTTAAATGTTTATTTATTTTGAGAGAAACAGAGAAAGAGAGAGAGAGAGCAAGGAGGTGCAGAGGGGGAGAGAGAGAGAGAGAGAGAGAGAGAGAGAGAGAGAGAGAGAATTCCAAGCAGGCTCCATGCTCAGCACAGAGCCAGACGTGGGGCTTGATCCCGTGACCATGAGATCATGACCTGAGCTGAAACCAAGAGTTAGATGCTTAACTGACTGAGCCACTCAGGCACCCCAAGAGCTCTCCTTTTCTAAATGCTCTTGCATGCTTGATTTTGAATAAAACAGTATCAGGGAGGCAGAGCTCACCATTGATTGACTGACTGATTGATTGATTGATTGATTCATTCATTCATTCAGTTATTTGTCTCACTTGCTTGCAATTGACAGAACCGAATTGCTCATGCTCCCATTGTGTCCACAGGGAAATTCTGTGCAGTGCTTGGCACAGATGCATTCTTTAATCAACCCTGGTAAAGTGATATTAGTCACATTTTAAATTTTGCATGCCTAGAAGAAAATCTATTAGTGAGCCAAATGTAAACCAATTTAGCGAGTAACTTATTTAGTGTGCTTCCTTATCTTGATTTGGTTTCCTTTATTCCTCTAAACCACCAGGCCATTCTCCCCCTCACCAACTATTATAACCAGATTAAAGTTATTTCTGTGGTTTCTGACATTGTCTGCTCAGCCTAGAGAACATACACAAAACTTGGAGGGAACTTGTAAAGGAGCATGTTAGCCTTTAAAGCGCCTCCAAGTCGTTCATTCACACTTGTGTCGCCTTTACAGTTGTAGACCATGTACTAGGAAACCTTGGTTTGCGAACATACTTCATTCCAGAAACAGGCTTGTAATCCAAAGCACTCATATATCAAAGCAAATTTCAAGAACCATTGGCTCAGTTGTGATCATGTGACATTCGGAGTCACATACTACTTGTATTGCAAGACATCGCTCATTTATCCAGTGAAAATGTATTAGAAATGTTTGCTCGTCTTGAGGAACACTCGCAGAATAAGTTACTCACAATCCAAGGTTTTACTGTATGTGAGTATCATAAGTATCCAAAGACAAACTCAGTTTATATTTCTTCTTCCAAAGCAGTTTCTGTGAAAATATTGAATCATTGTTCAGCTAATGCTCAACACATATGATAAGGTGACCCAAAGCATGAGATCATCTGATACTTTGAGGTCTGGGGGAACAAGCATGCAGAGGGAAGCGTTGGACATACAGGTTGTATGTAGATCTAAGCAGCGAGAAGTCTATTTTTGCACTGCTTTATAGAAATTTTGTGTTGTTTAGGATGACCCCAAAATGTACAGAGATTGCTTTCTTACAAGTAGGGTTATACCTGTATCTCTCGGAAGACAAGTGCTTAGGAGATGTGACTTAAACAATGTAGTCTAAACTGGTGTAATTGGTATTAAGACCATGACCTATCATTCTTTTTACGTAAAGTATGTAACTAGCAGACTGCTAAGTGCATTACTGGGAAAGAACCCCACACAGTACCTGACACATTGTAGGCATTCAGTAAATGTTGTTTGAATGATGTAACAAATATCAAGTGTTTATTGTATTCCGGCAACAAGTAGCTATTTACTGCCTACCCCTGTGTCATCTTCCATGCTACCAGTTGAGCATATAGAGGAGATATACTTTAAGCAAAAAGACCTGAGTACCAAACTATGGTGAGTGTTATGAAAGAAAAGAACAGATACTAGAAGAGAAAAATAAGCATTGCAATATTCTTTTAAGGTAAGGGGAGTTTGTCTGCTTAAAAATCGCATAATAGGGAGTGGGGATAAAGGGGAGATATTGGTGAAAGGGCACAAAATTGCAGTTATCTGGGATGAATGAATCTAGATATCTAATGGACAGGCATGATGACTACAGTTAACAACGGATTGGATACTGGAAATATGCTAAGACAGAAGATTGCAGGCATTCTCATCACACACACACAAATTAGTAGATATGGGAGGAGAGGATATGTTAACTTAGTTTGACTGTAGTAATCGTATCAAATCATCAGGTCCACCTTAAATATATCCAATGTATTAAATGTATTATTAAATACTAATTAATATCAAATATGTTTAAATGACACAATAAACCCTGAATAATAAACACATATTTGTCTGGCTTTAGCCTTCCGTTAAGAGCAGAAGTTTAATTTCACCTTATTTCCCAGGTTATTTTCTTGATGTGTCATGGCAATGCAATATAAGGAGTCATTTCAT